AGTCAGCCAATGATGTCTCTCTCTATTTCTCTACCTCTCTCTCTCTCTATATATATATATATATATATATATATATATATATATATATACATTGAGGAAAAAATATACAAATAAGAAATTGAAAAACATGGATAAAAGAATTGTGAATGAAGATACAAAGACATTTTTTTCTCCAAAACCATCTTTCTTAAATTGAATTTTAGGTGATGCAAATGTAATTTCCGTGGAGAAAATTTCATACCATTTTTGCTAAATACAACAAAACAACACAAACTTATTTCTCATGGAGTTTGAATTTTTTTTTTCTCTCACCTCAAAAAGTTTTTTTCATATTCATATTTTGTTATTTAAGTTCCTTGTGTTTTGCATTAAATATACGAGTGATATTTCGTTTATGAATTGTTTAGGTTCTTCTATGACATTTCGAAGTTCTGAAAATTTACCTTATACTTAATAAAAAAAGAAAATTTACATAAAATTATTGAACCACATAGTAATCAACATATATATTTATTGATATAGAGGTTGCGTGATAGATACTGAATTCTATCTATCTATCTATCTATCTATCTATCTATATATATATATATATATATATATATATATATATATATATATATATATTTTTAATTTTATTTTGTTTTTATATTTTTACCTTATTTTTAACTATCATTTGTTTTGTCCATTCATTTATTTTTTCCTCATGAAAATGGACGACTCTATTAACTTGCCAGCAGACTTTAAATAAAGTCAAAGAGTGATGAGGAATAAAAAAAAAATGACTAATTATTCTTAGTGTAAATTTTAGATCAAACACTTTCTTCTTATTATTACCAGCACACACAGTGCATTATTTTGGGTATATGGAGGTATGGTGGTGCAATGGATAAGCGGTTCAGACTAAGGAATTAAAGAGCTGAGTTCAAATTATGGTTGAATTCATATTCACTCATGTGAAAATAGCGTTGGGAAAGCTAAGACTCCATCTCTTCTTCCTACCTGCTATGGGTAAATGGAAGGACAGACTGGGCGCTATTGCTTTTAGTGGGGACCTAGTCAAAAGGACAACTCTGGATTCAAAACCTGCAGAGGGTCATTTGGAGATCTTGTGGCAGCCGTACTGTGTAATTGGCTTTTTCAAAAAGTGTCATTGACTCTTGTACAAGCTTTCATCACTACAATCAAATGTTATGTGCGAATAGTCTGGCTGTTGGTTCTAAAAAATGTCTGACCCTCATATCTTGAAAATGATTAGAGATATATATATATATATATATATATATATATATATATATAGAGAGAGAGAGAGAGAGAGAGAGAGAGAGAGAGATTCGATTATATTAGTGGTCAATGTACATATATATATATATATTGAGCACTAATATATTCAATATCTATCTATCTATCTATATATATATATATATATATATATATATATATATATATATATATATATATATATGAAAATTCTCCGATTTAACCAGTAGAGAAGACAATATTTATGAATAAAAATG